CAGTCCCCGCCCCTCGGCCCCCAGCCTCCTTCCTCCGAGCATTCCCTCCCGGTGCGCCCCGCTCGCACCCCGCAGCTCTGCATCCTCCGAGCCCGCCCTCAGAGCTCCGGGGTTTCGCCCCTGCTTCGCCCACCCGCGCTCCTTGTTCGTCCCACAGGTTCCTTCCGAGGGCGACCTGGAGTGTGTGCCTGGCCGCCTCGGGGGTGGGGGGACGGGCGGAGCACAGCTGGAAGCGGCTTGAGGATGAGTCCCGCGGCCGGTGCGGGGGCGGGGGCTGCAGCCCGGGTACCATTCTTATGCCTCTTCGTGTCACCCGTGCTCAGCGCAGTCGGCTGGCTCCATGTTTGCGGAATGAATGAATCGTGACTCTCCTTGTCCTCTTCTGAAGGAGGACTTTTGGGCTCCACGTGCTGCAGAGCACCTTTGGGGGCCTCATGAGATAGGGATCCCTTCTACTGCAAGGTAGAAACTAAGACTCACATCTCCTCCTCCTCCCTTACTTCATTCTGTTGGCTCCCTTTGGGCTGGGGTTTGGGGATGGGTTGGGAGAGGAGGGTCTTGTAGGGCCTGCCGGTACTTGTTGAAGTTGTGTCCCAGCAGGGGACTTGAGCAAGGCCTCTTAGAAGGTCATGACTGTGGACGGGGATGCTGCAGAGGGGCGCACCCACCGTCAGCCAGGAGACACTGCACCTCTGAAGCCAGCCGGGCAGAGCCGACCTGAGAGTGGATTCTGATCCACAAGTTACTTACTGAGCCCCTCCAAGCCTCGGTTTCTTCATCAGTAAAATGGGAAAACGAGTATTTGTTTCTTGGGACTTTGTGCAGATTAAGAAGAAATGTCAGATGAGATCATCCAGCAGAACGCCTGACATATTGGGGTCACTCAGCAAGTCTTAGTTTTATTTCCTTCCTCTCCTCTCTTCTCTGTTGCCAACACAGTAGATGTGTGATTACTGTTCGTTGAATGAATATGCTTGATGGAGCTTCAGCACCAACCCCTCCACCCCCCTTTTCCCCAGAATCTGCGGGGAGAGCTGGGGACCTGACAGGCTCAGGCATGCCACTGCTCTCCGAGGACTCGGGTGAGTACTCTTCCCCTTCTCCTCCCTCCCTGGCTGGGCCTGCCACGCCAGTAGGACTAGAGCCTGTCTCTCAGCCCCGGGCTGGCAAGAAGCCAGCTGCTGCCAGCCTTGGCTCTCTGAAGCTGCCCTGCCTCCGGGCTCCGGCAGTGAGCCTGGGGAGAGAATGTCCTCATGGCAGGGGCAAAGTGTTGGAGGACCCAGGTGGCGTCCCGGGGCAGGAGTGCCCCCTGTATTTGTTAGACTTTGCTTTTCTTATGGTCTCTCCAGGTTTGCACGAAACCCTGGCACTGCTGACCTCTCAGCTCAGACCTGACTCCAACCACAAAGAGGAGATGGGCTTCCTGCGGGATGTTTTCAGTGAAAAAAGCCTCAGTTACTTAATGAAGGTGGTGACCCATTTCATCCCGCCCGGCTGCATAGTTCTCTGTGGCCCTTAGAGGTCATCCTACCCCAGGAAAGTCTTCACCAGTCTGCTAGGCAGGGTTTTCTCTTATCCTGCCCTGTTAATGACCCCAGGGGTCCCCAGAGCTGTGGGAGGGACATGAGTTGCCCAGGGTGCACCTGAAACTGGCTGTCTTTGCAGATTCACGAGAAGCTTCGCTATTACGAAAGGCAAAGTCCGACCCCAGTTCTGCATAGCGCCGTGGCCCTCGCTGAGGATGTAAGCCCCAGATTTTGCCTTATGGTGTCACTCCACTCCCCACCCTGTAGGACCCCTTCATCTTGCCTCATTGCCATTGCTTAGCCTGGAGACATTAGGCATTGGAGCCCAAAGG